TAGGGTTTAGGGTGTTTAGGGTTTCGTTGACATAGTGACATCGTCAGGAGTAGAAGTGGAGAGCAAACGAACCGTAGTAGTAATCATCAGTAATCATCATAGTCATCGTCAGAACCGAGATCTTGGAGGACAGGCTTCTGCATTTTAACTTAAGGTATGTTCAGTCATGTATGTGAATTGGGTTTTCGTAGCTGCGTGGTTCTTTGAGTTTCATTCATGCCGGTGCAGTACTGTTTTGGTGGCGGCTGTTCCGCAACCTTGACGTCGTGGGGATGCTTGGTGGGATCTTGACACCTCATGGTCCGTGGCTCGTTAAACCCCCAAATCCCTAACCTTGAATCTCACACCCCCAAGAGCAAACTCCATCTCTGCCAAAGCTCTTTCAACCCGGTTGTAGGTTCAGGCCGTGTAGGGGGTGTTAATATAAGGGTCTAGATAATTACCAACATTATTGTGGGGCTTCCTTAGTATTATTTATAGTATCATGGGCCCCAAAACCCTAGTCTAATTATTGAGGCCCCTATAACTATAGTAGGGATTGGGTCTTAGTAACGCAGGCTTCTTTGGCTTTCAAGGTGAAGGACTGGGCTCCTAAAATTCAGGGTGTAGGCTTCCTTGGCTGAAGTTGGCAAAGTCTGGGGACCACAGGATGCTATTCTTGGGGGCTGAGTAGGTAACCTTTAACCTTTTGGGGCTTATATAACCATGCAAGAATTCAAAAGGTTAACCATTTTTGGGCTAGGGTACTCAGCGACTAAGTATTGGAAGTTCATTCGGCCCTAGCCCAGGCGGAGGAGAAGCCAAAGAAAGATGAAGAGGAGAAGCCGGAGGTGCGGGACCGGCTTGGCAGAAGAAATCGAGGTGTGCGGTGTAGGCTTTGGGTTTGTTTTTTGGTTTAGGTAGGCTTAGGCTTTGAGCTTTGGGGCGTTTTGGGGTTCAGAGTTTTGTCGGGTGGAGTTAAGGTCCGAGCTCCAGGGAAGGAAGTAGTCTGGATGTAGCAGATCCCACTGCTCGCAATTTCGGAAGGAAGATAGGTGCCAAAGGTGCCAAACTTTGGCGGCTGACAAGCTTGCTACCCTGGCCACAATCTCCCGAGATCCGGATCGTGCGTGTCGCAACCACGAATCCCACCAAATACCTGGCTCTCGACGGCATGTTCGCCAGGATGGGAAGGCAGACATCAGGGAAGCCGAGGATGTTGACCAGGAGGCCGGGGCCTGGGAGCGGGAAAACTCTGAGCCCACGCAGAATCAGGGCTCGGGCCAACATCTTAGCAAGGAGTCGCGGCCTCCCAGCACAACAACAATCATGACAAAACCAATGGAAAGCTTTTGCAAATGAAAGCACTGTGGCCCTCGTAATCGTCATCTTCAGCTTCGTCGTGGCCATCGCCATGAGGCCATGGTCATCAGCACCACCACGACCGTCACCAGTCTCACCATCATCAGCGCTCCAAGCGCCACAGGCCGACAATATCACAATCACATTTGCCACCATCGTCGTCGCCGACATCACCAGCCTCCTCGCCATTCCCCTCGTCAGTATAGTTTCTCATAGTTCAAGCTTGTTGTTATGTTTACATTCGGTGGTATTCAACACTCAATTCATTCTTGTGTCGGTGATGCGGTTGTGACTATGCTCGCAATTCGAGTCCGTTTGGAATGATCATAGCTTGGAGGCCATAGAGCTTCGATGACACTTTCGTGCGGCCACACTGGCTGAATGCTGATGATCCGCTTTCGTTGTTGATTGTTGTTGTGGTTGTAGTCGCAGTTGGACCGCAAGCTGTCGTTTTTGTCTGGTGGTTCGGCTGTGATTGCTTGGGTTGGCGTTAATGTGGATCTTGCTATGGCTGCTACTTCTCCGTGATTTTTTGCCTCAATTCGGACTGCTGCCAGTGATAAGTACTGCGGCTACTTGCCCCTCGGGCTGTTGCTTTTGATATCATTCTCATTCTGCTGATGTTCTTTATTTCGTTGTTTCACCCCTCTATCTGACTCTATCTTCAAAGCACGCGCACCAACTGTGAACCTTGGTGTGGCCCCCGCGATCCGAGGTTTCTCAGCACAGATCAGGCAGACGAACCCTGATTTACATCCGTTAACTGCAAATCCACATAGGGATAATCCCGAGGGGGGCGGGGATTATATCTTGGTTTGTGTTCTTGCGCTGCAGCTGCCAAGTGCTGGCGCTTCTCCTGATTTGCGGCCTGGTAGTCTAAGATCCTGGCAAAGGGGCCTCAAAATCTCGTTGAAAGTTCTCTTTCAGAACCCCCATACACGAAGATGAACTATCTGCTGCAGAAGCTGCAAGCCCTACAGCAGCTTGTGCACCCAGCAACGGTTATCTAAGTCTTCCGAAACAGTGCCATAAGGATTCAACCACAGAGCAGAGATGTAAGGAGGAAAGGGAGAAGTCGCCAATCCTGGCCCAGCCGGTGATGCCGCCGGAATCCAGCGAGCTGCAGAAGGCACGTTCGGTTTAGGGTTGGGGATGTACTTTCGGGCTTAAGGCGTAGTTTTTTTGAGCTTCTGTTGGCACTGCATCACCACAGTCGTTAGTCGTCGACCGGGGAGGAAGCGGTGGGTAATGTCAACTCTCCTTGTTGTGATGTTTCGGCTCAACGTTGAACTGGATATCTTTTTGAGGCTTTTCAACACTTTTGGGTCGAAGAAGGTCGCAAACCACAGCAACAGAAGATGAGATGTGAGACAAGGCTCGATTTCCTGGGCACCACATCTCAAGCGCATTCCAGATGCAACGGTCCGAGGAGAGGTACAGCAGCAAGCTCTGAATCAGAACGACAAGACAGGGAGGTAATCTCCGAGCTTTTTGTGAGCCTGCCCAGGGTTGGAACCCTTCAGCACTACCAGCCCCACCGCACCCTGCCAGATTGGCAGCTATAGAGCCCTACGGCCGACTGGGACGACAATCCCTCCTTAACCTTCCTAAGTAAGCTCCTCACAGAAACATCGTTTCTTTCCACTTGCGGCCCTGCGTCCTGTTCGAGCTGCTTCCGATCCCCCAAAACCAGGAGGAGCTGCGGAAAGCGGAGGAGCGGCAGAGGAGGACAAGGCGAACCAAACGGTCCTGAAGGGTCTGGTTTCCAAGAAAAATACAGCTCCGGGGTATAGGATACTTTAACTTTCATTCTAACATGGAACGAATGATCTCATCAACGTCATCTTCAGAACAGTACATGGAAGCAGGCGGCGTTTGTATGCAGCAGACGCCAGAGAGCATTGCAGGATTCCCTGTGGGTTTCCTGTCTTGCAGGTCCAAAACAAGCAAGGCTCAGAGGGTTGAGGGCTTCGATGATCTAGTTTAATTGGGATTCATGGCTCTTCCATAAATACTCATGTGCAGTGATGCTGGCAGCAAGCCCAGACTGGCAAGCACCACCTCAGCCATGGTGCTACTGCGCAACCCAAATTCGAAGCCCACAGTCACGAAAGTCCTCAACTCGAAGACCCGGAAGGGCTAACTGCCGCCAAACTCTCAAGCACTAGCCCTTAATCTCGGGACTTGAGCCAGATGCCAAAAGAACCGCAAAGATCTCAAGCCCTGAACAGCTAAATCCCAAGCTCGCAGCCCACAAGCCCAGAATCGCGAATAATCCCGTGAAACTTAAACCTGGCCCCCCCCCCCCCCTAGGCCCTAGGGATATTAAACAATATAATACCGAAAACCCTCGACCTTTACGCCCTCAAGCCCAACACTTTCACGCCCGAATATCTACATTCCAGACCCCTTGAACCCTGAACCCCTAAACCCCGAAAGCCCTGAATCCGTCAACCCTTCCCTAAACCCCCTAAACCCCCGAAACCCTATAAACCCCTAAACCCTAAACCCCTAAAGCCCTAAACCCCTAGAGCCCTAAACCCTCTAAAACCCGCCCTACTTTGCGTTCGTGCGCAGGGCTCCCAAGAGGAAGCTCCCGGAGCCCAAAGCCGCCTCCAAAACCTCCGAGGCTTGGGTGGAGAGAGGGGGCGGGGGGGTAAACCCCAAAAGGTTTTAAGGTTTAGGGAGTGTAGTCTATACAGGGTTTAAGGGTTCCAAAATGAAAAGGATTTAAGGTTTAGGGATTATAGTCCATATAGGGTTTAAGGGTTCCAAAAGGTTTTAAGGTTTAGGGATTATAGTCTCTATATAGGGCATAACGGTTCCATCAGGTTTTAAGGTTTAGGGATCATCGTCTATATAGGGTTTAACGGTTTCATAAGGTTTAAGGTTTAGGGATTATAGTCTCTATAGGGTATAAAGGGTTCCAAAAGGTTTTAAGGTTTAGGGCTTATAGTCTATATAGTCTATATAGGGTTTACGGGTTCCATAACGTTTAAGGTTTAGGGATTATAGTCTTCATATAGGGTTTAATGGTTCCAATATATGGTTTAAGGTATAGGGATTATAACCTACATAGAGTTTAACGGTTCCATAGGGTTTTCAGGCTCAGGGATTATAGGCAATAGGGGTTTAAGGGCTTAGGGCGTAGCATTCATTGCGGTCTCCAGCTTCTATGCATGGCACGTATACCGGATCCTTCAATTGCTTATAGAGATGCATGCCCCTGAATCCCACACCATAAACCCCCGAGCCCCGAAAAATGATGCCCTTACTGAGCTTCTCGTTGCAAGCTTGGGAGGCAACGCTGGCCAGTACGCAACCGCCTCCCGCGGCAAACCCGCAGCGCGGGGAGCTGAGTGTCTGAAGATCCCGATGAGGTGGGAGCGTCGAGCAAATCGTAGGTTCGTTCATAGCAGCTACCTTCAGAGTCCGGATAACGGAGCTTGCTTTGGAGAACTAAAATTAAGCTTATTCACGGTTTAGAGACGTGTAATCTTGATGGGCGAGCTTGCATATGGGTCACCTAGAGTTGCAAAGCTTCGACAGCCACGACATCCAGGCAGACTCAGCTGGACATGGACAAGGGTTCCTTTTCATTGCGAGGGGCTGATCCTTGAGGTAACCAACGAAGTAACAGTGGGTTTCCTCGATATGGGGGTTTCCGAAAATAGGGGACCCTAATATAGTACCCTAAATAGTAGGCTCCTTATTATAAGGACCCCAGAATAAGGTACCCAAATTGTCGGAAACTCCCATATAGGATTTGGGAACTGGGAGTAGAACTGCATGTGAGCTTCTTTGAACTTCTGTGATGCGTGATTTGGGACGGGGGGACTCAAGGCTTTCCTGTCAAAAGGTTGGAGGTTTAGGAATTAGGCCCATTAGGCTCTTTGGGTTTAACATGTAGCTGTATGTTAATGAGTTATTCAGCGTATCTTTTAGATTTGGGTGTGAGAATCAGAATGAGTTGGGTTCTTAAAGTCTTAGGGCTCAAGCCTTGGGGGGTCTGAGATTTTAGGATGTCTGTATGCAGAGCAACGAAGCTTGCAAAATCGTTTTTTCAAAATCCTGATATGCCCGAAACCCTAAACCCTAAACTCGCTTTCCGAGGTGCAGAGCCCCCGGGCAACGCAGACGACGATGACGACGATGAAGTCGTAGTCCTGAGTGCCCTGTCGGTTTAGGGTTTCGGGGTTTCGCGGCCTTTCGGCTTGACGTTTTTGGTTTAGGGGCCAGGGGGCTGAGGGTGCGATGAAGCGAGCAGTAATCATGGTAGCGCTGTGAATATCTTCGGATCCAGGCATCTTCATCTTGTTTGCATCCACATCTTTACTTTATGCTGATCACCTTGGTCCTGAGTCCTGATCATCCTCACTAACACTGCCAGCATCAGTACAAAATAACCCATGTCGGAACCATTTGGACCATGAGCCCATTGGAGCTCATTTGGTTCCTGAAAAGTTCCTTGTGGACACCCAGTAGTCGGGCGCGTCCATTAGTGTTTGGATACTTCCAAACCCCTTAACACGGCGGGATTTCGAGACCACGCCGAGGAGGCGAAGAGTGTGGGTTTGGAAAAAGATGGTCCCCATTGGATCCCATCGCACGGACTCGAAATTGCCGACAAGGTGTAAGCGCGGGGGACAAGATTCTCAACCAGGAGAACGGCAAACGGAAAGTGTCGGAGCAGGAGCTTCTTATGCTTCGGGGCTCTCTGCGGATCTGGTGATCGATTTCAGTTGACATGCATCAACTTTGTTCGCCTGTTTCCCGGCAATCGCTACTTCAAACTGATGCTCTGCAAACTCCACCCTGAAATCTGTACCTTTCCGCCAAGCCGGAGTGCTGCAGACCATCCTACAGCTGAAATCAGATCCGGTAAGTGGCGAATGAAGTTGTATGCCATCCGCATCATGACTGTTCCAGAATCACAACATCTAGCAGAATACTGAACAATGACACTACTGCAGCCAGTACTGCAAGATCAACATTAGAGCTAAATCACGTAAGACGACCCAGCGAGAATAGCAAGATAACAAATCCTAAACCCCCAACCCTCTATACCTAATGGCCATGTTTTTGCATGTTCGAGCAGGAACCTGAAGTCCAAAATCCGAAACCGTATCAAATTCCTTCTCCAGGAGGCGGAGGAGAAGCAGACGAAGCCAAGCTTGGAGGAGATGGCAGCCGAAGAAAAAGACACAGGCGCATATGCGCACGTGCGCTTTACAAGCTGTATACGGGATTAGTGTTCAAGGCTTTGGCTGTTTCGTTCGTGTTTGTGTTGCTGAAGCTCTATTCCGTGTATCATGCAGTTGAAGTAAGTGCAAATTGATGAGCTATGCTTTTTGTGCAGGCCCCGTAATTAGAATTACAACGAACTGCCTTCTGCCGTAAGCACGGATCATGGAGCACGTTCGTGACTGCTTCGCATCAAGCTGGCAGCTGTTGAAGCGAAATCCGGAGCTTCGCAAGGTGTTGCTGGCATGGGCTACAACGGGAAACTGCCAGCTTGCCAGATACCTTTGTGATCTCCGTCTTGCGCACGAAGTACTGGGGAAGCAACATGGCTGCCCATCATGGCCATCGGCATTAATTTCGTGGCCATTTTGAGGGGAGGGTCTTTCGGAAAGATAAGCGACCGCCTGGACAGGCTGTCCGGGCCGTCGCTGATCTTTCCGAAAGACCCGGACAGGCGCCTCGCTGCAGGTGTAGTGGCTGTAGCAAGTTTTGCTCCTGGCTGTGCCTTGTTGATTTTGGGCTTCACTTCGTGAGGCTTGTGGATCAGCACCGTGATTAAGGTCATCAGCGCTTTCGGAAACACGAGCAACGTGATGTTCGCGCTGGTGAGCGATGCGACTGCTTTGGAAGATCAAGAGGAGGATTTTGGTTTGGCTATGCATCCACGAGTTTGATCGGCCTTCTTACGAGTTCGCTTCCGTTTCTTTGGTGTTCACGCTGCATGCACTTCCCAATAGTCCGGTCTTTTTCCTTGCCCCGCAATGGCTGATGGGCATTCTTTGTATGTCTGCGCTGTCCTCGGTTCGACTGGAGCAAGGAATGCTGCAGGAGGCAGACAGGCAGATTCTGAATACGGAAGATTCTGTGAATCGCGGTCAAGATGTGGAGTTTGATGATGCAGGACAGAACACTGCTTGAAGTTGCAATCCCGGTTGCATGCTCATGCAGCAGCTCTTGTCCCCGATCCTCTTGGCCCCGAGCAGCCCACGGCTTCGCCGGATCATCATGGCGACTGTTCTTTGTCCGCGTGTCTGGCTCGATGACCTTTGATATTGGCGGCCAGTTCTTCAGATCCAGCATGGCACAGATCTGGATATCGTGATGGTCTGTGTGCTCGGCCAAATCCCTGGGCAGCTTCTTTCAATACCCTTGAGCGTGATCACTGGGTGTTTGGCGAAGTCCTGTGGTCCGTTGGATGATCCCGTTGTGCTGTGTGCTGATGAGTTTTGGGGCCCTGGGCTGTCGTGAGGCACCTTTGGTTTATTGCGGTGGTTACAGTGTGCCTGAACTGCGCTGGAATGATCCATGTGCGGCTACTGCAACTAGCCTCTGGACTCGCACCCCCTGGCCGTGTAGGGGATGGTTGTGATGGTGATGGTGAAGGTGGCAACGGGTGTGAATCTATGAAGATGTAAGACTTGTTGCACTGGACGTGTCGATGATTGTTGTGACGGTGATGTTGTGTTGATAATGATATTGCTGCTGTTGCTGCTGCTACTGACGGTGATGACGATGGTTTTATTGGACAGGTTTTGTGATGATGGTTGCCGTGATGGTGCAGGTCGTACTTTCTCTATGGTCCCGTGACTGCCCCATTGAAGGCTCGTTTTCGTGAATTCCGGCCTGCACAGGTACGGATCTGGAGGACGGAAGCTTTCCTTGGACGATCAGGGCTGGCTGAAGAGCCTCAGAAACAAAGGTCAGGAATGTTCAAATCTCGTTGAGTTAGCACCTTCCTGGTTCAGGGCAGTGTTGATTGGTCCGATTACCCGTCCTTGCCATCGAATATCTCGCAATTTGGATGGGGCCTACAGAGGACGACTATGGACGACTTCCAGTGCAACTATACAAAGAGTTGACTGAGCTTTCCGCCGGCTAGACAACCACAATCGAAAAGCTTCCTGCCAAGAAATGCACTAAGGCCACTACAAGGGATAAACAGGATAACACTAGGTCATCAGATACGGGTTATTAGTACCCTGCCACATCCTGGCACCGAAAACCTGACAGCTCTGACATACCAACCTGGCATCCAATGCCTTGACCCACAGAGCCCTTAACTTAGGATCCTAGGCCCGAGCCTCCTCAACCTTATGCCCCACACCCGGCACTGATGTGCCGATGCTTACCCTAACCTCCCCTCTAGTACCCTATATAGTAGGTACCTGGGGGGTTAGGGTAACATGAAGCACATTTTGTTCATACACCCCTCCGGTCTCGGGTGCGGCCCCTGCAGGATGCGCAGCTAGGACCCGTTGGTTTGTGCCAAGCGTACAGCTGTCATTCAGGGGATGTTGTGGTTGTCCGGCTTTGTAGCTGTAGCACCGTTTATGCAAATTCGTTTTTCCAATGCTGCCTTCTGCCAAGACTGTGCTCGTTCCACTGTCGTCAGCTGCGATGAAGGTGAGTTTGCGACCTGCGAAACGGGGATTGGAGTCCACTTTTCTGGTGCAAGGGTTGCGGCATGTTCGGGATGTTAGCAGTAAGGGCTGGCTCGTTGCTGTTTGATATTTGTGTCTGAGGTTTGGTCGAGATGCCCAGGTGGACAATTGCGATGATGACGATGATGAGGATGAGTACGGGAGGAGGATGATTCAGATGTGCCTACGACGAGGCTGCTACTGCTGATGGTAATGGTGGTGATTTTGATGTTGTTGCTGATTTGATCAAGACGATCCTGGTGGCGATGAAGATGAGATCAGTTGCCCCTGCGTTGCTTTCTACACCCTCACCCTGCCAAGCCCTGCCTTTGAGCTTCCGCCCTGTTGCAGGAGAGCAGATGCGAGCAGATCTTGGGGCATCTCTTGCCAGGCGATGAAGGGAAGCCGGGGAGCTTTCTCTGGCGTGTTGGGAAACAGTATCGATTCCCATGCGTCGATTGTTCCGAGGAAAGTCGCAGGCAGGATCCCATTTTTGCTGCGGTCAATGCTTCTGTGTTGTGAGCATGATCCGGTTAGTAAACCTCACAAGTCGCTCGGGTTGAAGGGCGGTGGGGTTGCAGATCAAGAGACCTTAGTCTCGCACCAGCTCCAGACGAGTCGTGACGGATGTGCCCCGACTGCTGGCTTGAACCTCAATCATGCCTGACTCCTCGGCGTGTATCCTGTGAGCCGTGATCCGTTGAGCCTGGGCTCGCCGCCCTAAACCCAAGCTGAAGCAGGCACTTCAGCACCTCGGATCCGCAAATGCCTGCGCTGGCCTCATTGTCCGGTGTCCGGCAGTGCGACACAGACAGTGGACTTTCAACAGCATCCAGGCTTTCTGATATTTCCGGTATCGACGCAGCAGGGAAGAGTTGAATTGAATTGAGTTGTCATTTGAGCATGTGCGAGGAAAAGGACAACTCCTCGTCTGATGGTTTGCTTCGGGGTTCATGGGACTTGGCGTGCCTGTAGGATGGAGCACTTATGTGTCAGCTTTGGTCTTCGCAAGAACCTTTCTTGTCATGGAGCAGTTGCAGAGCCGCCGCGATAGCCACCAGCGCACTTGGCGTAATGGTTGTCGGGGTTGTTGGGTGACAGTTGGAGTGCCTGTCTCAGACCTAAACGTGCCCCATGCCCTAAACATCCCCAACACCCTGAAGCTTCGAGGCAAAGCCAGCGGAGGTGCGAGTGCCAAATTGGTGTCACGATTCGGGGGAGCTTTGGGTTTTACTGCGCCGGGTTTAGGTTTTTGGATTTTGGTCCCAGAGGCTTGAACCTTCTAGGCCCTAGAATGCAGGGCTTGATCGTTTAAACTTGCCAAGGGCTGAAAGCATGTGTTTCACGACTGTTTGAACAACTGAGAACTACGCTGATCGACATCGCTACAAGCAACAAAAAGACGTCACCACCACTACCCCTCAAACCAGTTTTACGGCAAACACGCCGCCAACACCACTTCTTCTAAGGAGTTGATGACGGCGTAGGGGTACGGCTACGTTTGTCCCGAAATTGCGTAAGAAGCTGTTCGGCATTTTTCTGTTATTTTCTTGATGTCAGTACTATACTGCTCAAGCTCATCCCCTGTACGATTTCTACTACTGACTTACAGCAGCGGCAGCAGCAGCAGCAGCAGCAGCACATCCACCACCGCAACTACCGCCACCCCCACCACCACCACCACCACCACCGCCACCACCGCCACAACAGCAACAGCAACGACATCGACAACCACGGCACCACCACCACCAACAACGACGACAAACACATCAAGGAAAAACGACAACTACCATGATGAATTTCTTTCCGTGGATCGCACTGCTGTAACCACTTTAAGCTTTAACATAAGCTTCTGAAAGATGCATAAACTGTAGACCAAACTCCAAAAAATTTTAAAAACCCGAACCGCAGCGTGTGACAAGCCTGCAACTCTTCCACAACCTGAGTTGTGAGCAACTGCCACATGCCGCAATGTCCAAGTCTCATCAGAATTTTTGGTGGTGTGGGGGTTTTACACTATTGAAAGCATCATGCTTGAAATCTAAGCCCTAGATGCTGAAGCTCACAACCTCAAACACAGGAGCCGAACGACGAAGCGAAAAGGCGCTTGGCAGCCGCGGCTGCAGTGGCGCGAGGAGGGCAACACCGTCATCCTCTCCCTCTATATATATATATATCTTTCTCTCTCTCTCTCTCTCTCTCTGTGTCTCTCTCTGTCTCTCTCTGTCTCTCTCTGTGACGGCATCTAGGTACAGGTATCGGTTTTCGCTGCCGCTGCTCTTCAGATCTTCAAGGATTCAGGGAGAGGAGGGTGGTGGGCACCTGGAGACGGTGTGGTCGGCAGATGGTATTGCTTTGGTGCTTGATGACCGGGTTTAGATGACGGGCCCTCAGTGACATGGATCAGGTTTCATGTTATGTGTAGGCGTGTCCACAGTGTGCGTGCATACGCATGTACGTAGGTGCTTTGTGTGTTACTGTACTGTTTCATGCGTACATGTGCAAGTTTATCCACACGCACATACACGCATTGGTGAACATCTACCGCGTATGTAAGATAAACATGCGCACGCATATTATTCTTGAGTTGACAGTTGTTCTGATGTGCTTTCTCGGTCTATTCTTGCGATGTGAGGCTGCGCTGGGCTTCGTGATCTTGTGGCATGGTGGTAGCGTTCTGTCACCACAGGCTCTTGCACATTTGGCCAGTACTCAGTACTACTAGTTACTGTTGCTTGCCTGAGCACGCTGGTGCCTTGCGATAGCCCAAACAACATAGTTGAACAATGTTGAACACCGGCTACTCCAGGATTAGTTCAGCATATATATATACATATACACATATATATATATGTATGTATACACACACACACCCCGAAAAGGATGTTTCTGATGTTTCTCATGCAAATACGGTAATCCAAGCCCAAGCCTGAAGGAACCCTCAAACCTACAAAGAGCGAGTTGCAACGCTTCCGGAGGCTTCGCTGCTCGTGCGGCTGAAAGCTCAGAGAGCGATTCGGCAGGGAGGCCCAGGAGCAGGCGAAAAACAGTCTGCAAGATAGATCAAAGGAAGAGTGATCAGGATTTATAGGGCTTATAGGGAGTGCAGGAGACTTGGTTTGGGGCTTTTTGGGTAAGGGGCTTTAAAGGGGTTGGGGTCTTTGGTACAGGGTTTTGGGTTTAAGGTCCGCGTTGAGCATGCGCAGCATCAGCCTTCAAATCATAATCCAGTTGTTCAGGCCCCACAAGACCAG